ACGACGTGATGGACTCCCTGCTGTGTATGTCGTTTGTGGGCTCCATTTTCAGTTTCCTGGCCATTGCTGCAGACCGGTATGTATGTAGCACATAAATGTTTTACATTTACAGTGTTTCTAAACCATTTATACCTTTAACAGTGTGAGGGATAGATTTGAATGAGATGGTATGAATTTATTTCTAGCACAGTAATCCACCAGAATCCCCATATCAGAGGTATCATGATGCTTAAATCTATTTGGTTCCATTTCAAATAAAAGGTGAAAGTGGCTTCAGTGACTTTAAATGAAACCAGAATCATGGTGGGTATACTAAGGATTTATTTGATCAGTTTACAGGTGTGCTGGCTGTTTTGAACTGATTCTCTGTGGATTGTGGACCCTATAACCAATTATCCTCTGCTCATATTTAAATTCAAAGCAACATGTCTCACTAACTGGACTCTGGGGAGAAATTAGAAAAGTGTTGAACTCTGGGCTCTAACTCACAGATCCACAGCTTATTAAAAGACCCACTGCTGAATTGTTCCGAATGCTTTACCCCAAGTCATGAACACTTCCCAATACTGCTGTGAAGGATTTCAGTATTAAAAACATTATTAGTGGGATTTGATAGCACCCCAAGTGGTGAGTAGAAGTGTCACAATAATAAATATGTTAGTCACAATATGTTTCCATATGGAATGTATTATATGTTTACAATATTCTTACTTATAGAGGATATTACATGTTACAGTATTTTACTCATTGAATGTATTAAACCATAGCCACTAAAGGTATTAAAACACTGTATGAATAGTTTTGAGGGACAGAAAGAGATCATTTTGAGTGAGGCTTTTCAGAGGTGCAGCAGACAGCAGAGGGATGGACAACTGACCAGCAGGTCACAGAGAGGAGTTCAGGATGTTTGCCACAAATGATCGATAATGGGAGGGGACAGGATTCAAATGGAGCCAATCACTAATCGACCATTCAGACGTTTTAGGACAGTTCGGACACTTTCCGACGGTCAGGGAATATAAAAGACAACGTTCTAGAGAGCATTCCTCAGATCACATCCGCTCTCGTTTTTCAGAACCTGAATTCAGACCTGTGAGTGAGATGCGTGCATGTGGTCTCTGTTCTCGAGAACATTACTATTGATAGTTAATTCAGATTGTAAGTGAACTTTGTGTAGTACATTAAATATTGTTTTAATTTTGAACCAGACCCAGCCCATTTTTCTGGTGCGCGTGCGCAGTAAGAAGTTCGCAGCAGAAAAGTACCTGCGGCCTGCAGGCTCTCATCCTTTTTAAACCTCAACACTGCCATGGTTACCACTTTTAATTAACACCTTCTCGCTTCAGGTCATGTCAGCATGGTATGACAGCATGAAGTTACTCAAAACGTGGCTTTCATCCATCACAGTGAAAATTCATATGTATAAATAAATATATATATATATATATATATATATTTAAAATAAAAAATCACTTTATAGTTGCTTATTATGTTCGTCCACAGTTTGGTGCTAGGTAGAAAGTGTGGAGTGATTTTCTCTTTGCTTTGTTGACAGAGCCGGGCGTGCTTTTAGTGCACGTTCGTGCATGTGAGCATGACCTATAACGCTGACGTAGCGCCACCCTCTTGGTGCCCCTCAGGTAAACACTGTTAGCTTTGTTTCTGTAGTTTGCACCCAGCGCTGTTTGCACCTAGCACTGTTAGCACCGTTAGCTGCAAACCACCGGCTCAGCCGTTGCCATGCTGTTGATAAGCAATACATATGCTTGCAATCTCATAGCACCTTTAAACATGGTAAATATGTGTTTATATGTATGTATGTATGTAAGTATGAATGGATGTATGAATTTAATGTAATGTAAAATAAAAAATCTTTTTTTTTACTGCTACTGCATACATATCTGCTCTGTAAATCTTTTTTTTTACTGCTACTGCATACATATCTGCTCTGTAAATCTTTTTTTTTAGAAACTATTCAATTCAATTTCCGTCTACGTAAATGGAGACCTTATTTCGATACAGCCAATCAAATCTTGCATATAGTGTGATAACATAGGCAGAGCAGTATATATGCCACATATAAATAAAGAGGGAGTAAAACGGACATCCCCATTCAAATCAATGTATCAGGATGGCCAGAGTGGCGGCCATTTTTATGAGTCCCGTCGCAAAAAGCGTAGCTGGCTACTTTTATAAAAACTTCTGTATAAGCCGACTTCCAGATGACAAAATTATTTGTTTTCACTTTCAGTTACATCACTATCTTCCACGCCCTTCGCTACCACAATATTATGACGATGCGACGCACAAAGGCCGTCTTGGGTGTCATCTGGACAACATGCGGGGTGTCTGCCGTGCTCATGGTGAGGTTCTTCGCTTCCAAGTTCATCATGATCTGCTTTGTTGTCTTCTTTGTTGTCTCCCTGGCAATTATCTGCTTCCTCTACGTCTACATGTTCATGCTGGCACGCATCCATGCCAGGAACATCGCGGCTCTGCCCGCAGCCGGTGGCGGGGGGAAGTGCCGGCGTCAGCGGCAGTGGGGCAGCGGCATGAGAGGGGCCCTGACTCTCACAATCCTGTTTGGGGTGTTCGTGGTGTGCTGGGCGCCATTTTTCCTCCACCTCATCATCATCATGGTTTGCCCCGCCAACCCGTACTGTGAGTGTTACCGCTCGCTGTTCCAGCTGCATGTGGTGCTGCTGATGAGCCATGCCTTCATCGATCCGGCCATCTATGCCTTCCGCAGCGCCGAGCTCAGACACACCTTCAGGAAGATGCTGCTTTGTTCAGACTGGAGGAGGCGCTCATAGACAAGATCTATTGACTTTTATTTCAGCGTTTGATTTAGTGCATAGTTACCCTTTACCTGCAGACAACAATACACCAGTGGTTGGCCATCAGGGCCAGCAAGGCCTTCTCTGCTGGCCCTGACAGAATTATAAAGTTATAGCTATTTTATAATTTAACTATTTTTCATAAATATGCTACATGTATTCGAAAAAAAAATTCCCTAGCTTATTATCTCATTGCACCGCAACCACGGTATTAAACTCTTTGTAATCAAAGAAAAGAGGATGGTCTTTGTCTTTAAATAGTGAACAGCAGCTTTGGTAAGTGAACTGCTTGTGTTTTAACATCTGCAGTAGCGTTACTACTGTGTTCATTTTTCTATTGTGTCGTTTTTATATGGTGAATATTGTTACCTTCTGATGTGAATAATATTTGAATGGTGGTCGTGAGTGTGTGGCGGAATGCAGTTTTTAGTGCCGCAGTTTTGCTGGAATGTGCAGAGGCCTGTTGAATTGTGTTATTTGGGTTTTAGGTTATTCTACCTGCTTTGTTGTCGTATAAATAACAAATAAATAATTTAACCCGTAGCTGTGGTGTCATAATGAGGTTATTAGGAGGTGATTCAACTGTAGTAGGACAGCACTGAAGGCCCAGGTATAAAATGCACGTCCAGCCACTGCAATACACACACCTGCACTGCCAATGAACAGCTGTGGGTGGTCAAGGATGTCCTGCAGCAAAAAGGTTCACACAAGGTCACATTTTAACACTTGGTATTTGAAGACGCCTAAATCAAGGCCACTGCCACCAGAACATTTAGTTTCCCTTGAGTTTGAATGACATGTAATTTGTGTTTCCATGCACCTGGGTTATGACTAGAAAGGATCCCTTTTGTGAAAAGATTTCATGTTTTTGGGCTGGGAAGGGATCTGAGTTCAGAAATTAAGGTCTAGTGTAAGTTCAGAAGGAAGACTATACTCTTGTATGCTTAAGCCCGTAGTTTATTTCTCATACATCTGCCAATCAATCCTCAGGCATGCTCACTCATTATTTAGCTGTTTCGCTGGTCTCCTTTATCGAATAGCACAGCGACACAATTACATCGTTAGCCTATCATCTTATTACTGTCTCTCTTAAATATGATTGTCTCTCTACCTTCAGTACGTTTATGCTGCTGTTACGCACCCCTCCACCTCCCCATCTCTGCCCAATCTTCGCAGTTCCATCAGCTTCATCATCTCATCATTCTATCAGCCTCATCAGCCACCACCAGTGTCTGGATTTATCTTGCTGCTGCTCAGGGCAGACGCCCCTCGATTACAAATCTCCCTAAGAGTAGAGTCCAAGCGCCAAAGACTCTGTCAACACTTTATCATCACATATCATCTGTTAATAATAAACTATTATCTTTTATTTATCCGACTTGTCTCTCCTGATTGAAATGGCTGCAAGGCTGCCTGCTGAACGTAAACATGCGAACAAAAGACGGATCCTTTCTATAACCATAACCATGCATCTCTGAGTGTTTCTCTGTGTGTTTTTTTTCATTTGATAACTTGCCATCTTTTTTCTGCCTTGCTGACTGTCTAACCTTCCACCCCCTCACCCCATCATCTGTCTCTCGCAGGACTCGGATGCAATCTCATTTCCCCCCCACCCAAATGTCAATCTCTTCAAAAATGATCACGCAGGAATGTTGCTCAGAACCTATTTTACTCAAAGGACATTATTTATTCACATGGATCATTCATAATCTTGTGACTTCCATTATTCACAGGACCACGGTTTACCACAGCTCCTGGTGCAAACAATAATGTGAAAACAGCTCACCACTTTACCTTCTATTGCAGACTCCCATAAATAAATAATAAATAATTTGAAGCAACGTGACCGACACTGGCATCAGCAGCTCACATTTATATCTTTACCATAACTAACATTAACAATGTCCACACAACTGTTAATATGGTCTCACTGTACATAAACCTAGGGCTGAGCATGGGATCAGCATATGGGCTTCAACCCTGTCCGGTGTCACGTCACATTCAGTGTTTTTGCTGCCGTTTCTGTGGGAATGAGAACTACTTCACAATCAACAACAACAATAAATCACTTTGCATAATTCCACAGATATGTCATGTTGGAGGTGGATGTACTGTGAGCAAAATGAAAATCACTGTTTTTCTCCAATAAATAAACCTGTAGGGAAAAGAATACCATTGCGTTTTAATAAAAGCAGTTTCCATGTGTGCATATTCATATGCTCTTGTTTTGATCTCACAATTGCGCAGGACTTACAATAAGCATGTATGGAAGCAACGTTAAGGCAATTTACAACACAAAACATCCTTTTAATACTGTGTTCATCATGTTTTTTTTCAAAAATGACTCATGTCTCGCTGTCTAAGGATCAGTCTCAAGACACAAATAATACAAATTGTTTTTCTTGGGAATACATATTACAATGCAACACTGGGAAACAAATGCTTAGAATCTACCACTAAGAAATGATGCAGAACAGCAATTTCAGGCAGATGGTTGCATTCTGTGATAAAGTTCTCTCAAGCTTTTCATTTGGGAGGTAGGCGCCACTGACACACACTTACAGAGAGCACTGTAAAGCGGTATGTATATTCATTTTTACATTTCAAGTGTAAACTTATGACATATTGACATAGTTTATTACAGACCATTGGCAGGGATGCAGTAAGAATTGTCATACATCGGTGAGCACATTGACAGAATAGAGCAGCTATAATTTATATGAACATACAGACAAGAGAGTGACTCCTTATTCAAACCATAGCAGAAACGGCTGTGCGACTGAGCGTTGGCAGATTTCAGGAAGCTGTTCATTAACTATCCCACTAATGCAGCAGCAGGGAGGGGTGCGGGGGGTTTAGGCATACCGCAGTGGCAGAAATTTGGCTGTTGTCTGGCAATGCCATCCAAAAGTTCAGCAGCAGCCTTCTTTTCCCCAGTTACAGATAACAAACAAGCGCGAAATGTCAGGGCCTTCAAGGTATTCAGACAAAGCCCTGGTTTGGTCTGATTAATTCTATAAATAAAATAAAATAAAATATAAAATGACGCCGACTTGTTTGCGTTGTTTTCTGTCTGTGCTTTGTGCATTCAAGTGGTTTTGTGTTGGAAAATAAAATGCAACCAATCAGATATTTTTTTAAGAGTCTCTGGGGAGAAAATTCACCATCCAGGGTATTTTATGTCCTTGTTAGAATGCCCTGACAATTCAACGTAATGAGAGCGTACGTTTGGATTGACAATTTGATCAACCAATCATATTTGGATTAGTAGCCAATGGGCGTATTCTTTCAGAATCTTCACGGCTCCAGGGTTTTATAGAAGACCCGCTCACGACACCTAGTTTAGTGCTAATTAGCGATCGATAGCAGACGCCGAAAATGGCAACAGGTGCGAACAAGGCAAAACATCTGAGGCAAGAGTCGTGATGTTTCTTGGGTTGGTGAAAACATTTTCGTGAAAATGATCTGCTCAACAGTGAACCACAATAAGTTGATGTTGGAGTACATATTGTTTTTAAAAGCTCTGATAGACTGTAAGCTCCTCTCTGTTATTCAACACAAGATTGTCTCTGTGGTACTTCTTTGTTTAAAGTGTTGTTTTGTCCTCTGTATTGAACAACAAGGAAATCATCTTTTTCAAATTTTCTCCAAAAATGACATGCAAGAGCTTTTTTTTTCTGACTAACTGCAGTTTTCAGTTTTTTCTTTTGCCTGATCCATCTCCGCTGTCACAACCTAGTTCAATGAATGAGAGGCTGACATTTTCAGTCACAGCTAACATTGATTTAGGTGACATCAATTGAGGCAACTTTCTATTAGATTCCCTCAAAACTTTTCCCATTTGTTGTTGTCGTCATTGCCCCACCCCATTCATCCACATAGCCAACACGTTCTCACTCCCAACTCAAATACAGATGATTGGTCAGTGTCCCTATGCTTCAAACCATGGCGCTTTACATACCCCTCTAGTGTCAATCTTGGATGTGTCGGAGACTACATGTTAGTTTCCACTGGTTACATAGTGTCTTTTCAAAATAAACTTTGAATTGGCGTTAAGTTATGTAACAAAACCATGGTAAAATAAGTCAAAGTTGACTTTATTTCTCACGGGAAACAGCAGACCTGTGTTTGTTTAAACCCAACCGTCCACCGCGACCTCTTTTCTCGCTCTTTATACCATGTCCTGTGCTCTGACGGTCTTATAATGACGCGAATAGATTTACATTGGAGTTTGTTAATAACGTCCCATACGTACACTAAAAAATACATCAGTACATCAGAATTTCAACGCCGAGGGACACCGACCAAGCAGCGATATTTGACGAGTCGGGAATGAGAACAGGTAGCCATCATGCTCACGCCTACGCATACAGTAGTTAGCAGAAAGTATGTCAGGACTCTTACACAACATCATTTAAGATTCACAAAAGATAATAACAAAAATGATAATATCCTGTCAAAGTGTTGATTTAAAAAAAAAATAAGGTCAAAGCAGAACAATCAAAGAAATGTCAGCTAAAATGAAAGGCAGGACACAAACTCTTTTCTGCAACGCACTTTCAAATGGTCTTGGCTGTTTGTCCAAGTACCGAATACTGTAGCCACTTTGTGCACATTGCGACAACATTAGGAGATAGAAGCTTAACCTCCCTACAAATGGTGGGAGTCCCCTTTCCAGTTCATAATGGACAGAAGACAAAAATGTGCTTGACTGTACACTGTAGTGGCTGAAAAGTGCAATGAAACAGTTCTCTGCAGTCGGTTCATCCTACAAATTCTGCCATTGGCCTTCTGAGTCTGTCTCTCTCAGTACTTACCCGTCAGAGCGCAGATGTTCGTGCAGGCATTTCTCAGGCTGTAACAACAGATGATCTCCTTAAAAGTCTTCCTCATCTCCTGACTCCTGAAGGCATAGATCAGTGGGTCAATCACCGAGTTGCACATGATGAGGATGAGGTACATGTTGAAGTGGGACATGAAGCACACACAGTAGAGGTTGCGCGGGCACGAGATCATCAGTATCAGGTGAAGGAAGAAGGGAGCCCAGCAGACGATGAAGATCCCCAGCAGGATGGTCAGCGTGATGGCCCCCTTCATGCTGGCCCGCTGGTGGATGGAGTTGTAGCCGGGCAGGGCGGCGATGCGCTTGACGTGGGAACGCGCCAGCATGAACATATGGCTGTAGAGGGAGGCCATGATGACCAGCATGGCAAAGAACATGGAGACCAGGCAGATGATGACGGGGGTGGTGTCTGAGTAGATGATGAAGACGATCCCGCAGCCCGTGCAGAAGGTCCAGATTCCCCCGATGATGCAGCCGGCTCTCCTCACTGTCATGATGTTGTGGTACCTCAGTGCATAGAAGATAGTGACGTACCTGTAGATAATGACATGAATTAATTTCTGAGGTAACCTGTACCCTATGGTTTTCTAGCCAGTTTGCCTAGCCAGTGAACATTTGAAATCATTGGCAGAGACCTTTTAGATGTCAAGAGGAGTGGAATATATCCCTGTGCAGTCACGGCAGCTTCATGGTTAATCTGTGTCACTTGGTGTTTTGGGCTCTTCAAGTTCTCGGAAACCACAATCTGAGGCAATACACATACAGCAGTATGTACCCACTTATTTATTTGAGTTTTAAAGAGGTACTTTACTAATGCAGGATACTTATGAGAGACATTTGGAAAATTGAAGGCGCAGAGGTCAAGATATTCTGAATTTTAGTCCCTGGAAGGGGCAAACTCCTAAATAGTGAATCCTACATTTCCCAAAAGAAACCAAGATAACCCTGACTATGATATCATCAAAGTTATTTTCCAAAGTTATTTTCCAGACTTGACAAAGCTCCTCCAGAGCCACCGAAGACATTTTACAACGGTATTCACAGTCTGAGCAGTACTAACCATGATTAGTAAACTAATCTCTAAGACTGCTTTCAGAAAGAAACGGGTTATTATATTGTGTTTCTCACTGGGCAAAGATTAGAGAGGTTGTTGATTTCCTGTGGAATTTGAGTAAAAGAATTCCTAAAAAAAGCTTGAAAGAAATCCATCCAGCAGTTGTTTGCTAATTACACTGCACAGCCTCTATTGTTAGAAAACCTTATGTAAGTTGTCTTTACGTAACATTTTCATAAGACGAACTGAAAGGGAGACCTTGTACCTTGTTTCACGACAAGCAGAGCAATGTAATTATGCACACTGACTCTTTTGAGAGTGTTCTTGTCATACATGGATTTCAATAGATAACAAGAACTAACTTGTACTGGATGGTAAAACATAGAAAGGAAGTGTTAACTAAAGATGGTTCCATTAATTTCAGCTCCTTAGTGTTTGTTTGGATTTGTTTGGTCGTGGAAAACGAAATAAAAATTCCCACACTTCAAATTTACATTTGCAATGGCTTTTAATTATTTTTATTCTTCATTTGCTTTCTGTGGGTGTTTTTATAGGAATCTGGATCTTTCAGACCAATTTGAGGAGTGCCTCAGAGTGGCATGTTCCACATGTAATCGTAAGTTTGTCATGTAGTGTGGGACTTGCACCGGTCTGGACTTGGCTCGGTCTCGCCCTGGCTTTGTCTTGACTTGATCTCAACCCCTCAAAGTTTTGGTCTACACTCTGGTCTTGGTCAAGACTTAGTCTCGATTTAGGCGGTTTTGTCTACAACACCGTCTCCCTCCATCATTACCTGTCCACAGCGATGGCCAGAAGGCTACACATCGAAGCTACAACAGAGATGCAGATCATGGAGTCAAACACATTGTCCATCTGCCGGATGAAGTGATCCTCCACCACCAGCTGTCTGTTGTTGAGGAGGTAAATGATGATGGTCTCCCAGGCGTTGGACACACTCACCAGCATGTCCGCTACTGCTAGACTGCAACAACCAAACAAGTTAGGTTAAGCTCTGATCCTATGCATAGACATTCACAAATATGTACAGGAGCCCGAAGAGTAGCTGTCCCAGCTCTCCCCCTGCATGACGACATATTCATATCACAGTGAAAACCAACAATTGAACTAGAATGCATTCTGGCACAATGCATTCCTGCACAAAATGCGGTGTCAATACAGAGAGCTAAAATGCATTTTAAGCACTGCTATGAATGCAGAAATGTAATATGAATTGCACTTGAATACCAAATGAATTGCACCGCTGACCTTGCGATTCTTACAAGGCGTAGAGAAATTGATCAATGCTCTAACCCCTCAGCCACTACGCAGTACAGCATACTCGAAAGGAGAAGGCATTCATGGTCTTAAGGATTATATAAAGGCTAACTTCTGTGTATATAATATTGTTCGAACAGAGACTGTACGCTGTTTCCCGACAACAAGCCTTGGGTTTGTGTCACCAGCGACATCAAAGTCTTCTTAAATGAGAAGAAGAGGATCTTCAGAGACAGGGACGGGGATGTTGTTATGGTTATACCAAGGACGGCCTTCAATTTATACTATGTTCAATTATATGATTATTTATAGTAGATTTAATCTCCTGACATGTAGGACGTTTTTGAAAAATAAAAACTTTTCTTTATATTTACTGCCAGGGTCCAGTACTGACAGTGCTTTTCTACTATGCCCAGCTGTTGCTGTAGTCCTTTTTCAGTAGGAGACTTTAGAACCACGTCAACAGCATAAAACGGAGACATCACCTCTCCATCTAGGGAGAGGCCAGGGGCAGCATATTGATCCAACAATGGCAAGTTCATTTATATACCTATAAAGTCGGACTTAAATTACAACCTTGACGAACTGAAGAATTCAGTTTGTTCGTCCCCCGCACCCTTAAAATAACATTTCGAATTTTTGAATTGTATATATATATACACATATATATACACATATATATACATATATATATACATATA